TGAAAAAATCGGGTAATTGCTCCAGGCGGTCGAATACTGGAAAGTCGAATTATCGGGAGTCGAATTAACGGCAGTTGACTGTATTAATTTCAGTCATACCATTTTCTTGTACCGTGATTGGACACTGGATAATGGTATTTAAAACTTGATAGACACGATAGCCACTTTATGACAAAGATTCAGATCCCACGCCTGCTTGAAATCTTCTGATTGAAGAAAACTTCTGACACTCCCGTAAGAACTAAAACGTTAGTTCATTTCACTGCTTATCGATAGTATTACGCGAGTGATGAATCATCAATCCACTCGAGGATCTGTATATGCAAGAAACTCCGTTCATATCAACCGTGCGAAATTGATTCGCCCATTCCTAACTTCCGGCCGAGAGTCTGAGCAAATACTGGCTAGTAGCACAACAATAATAACATTCATAATGCATTGATTGTTCTTGGGTTAAGTCTTTTTCAATAGTTTGTTCAATGTCGCCAATCGAAGCGGTATATCGTGTCCACCTGCAATCTTTTCTAATCTGCTCTTTGCGTTTGAATAAAGTCGATACGTTCCACACTAAAGTAACGGCTGACTTATATTCAAATCATCCATCTATTTCGAGCGTTTGATACATTGCTTTAAGCATTCGGGGGGACAACATATTAGTTAAAGGAAAGAAAGATGACGCGAACGAGTCCTGTCGCTGATGCACGTCGAGGGTCTATTACTATTGTTGAAGATTCCGACACAATTTTTATGGTTTTTCAAGATTGTCTTGATCATAAATGGTTAGACCCACAATTATTAATTTGAACCGTTCCAAACAATATCGTATTATTAAATATTGAAATCGTAAAAAAAATCCCAACAGATTGCATTATATTTTATGCATTATGTTTTGTTTTTCAGACAGTATATTCCCATGTACAGTCGTAGCTACAAAGGGGTCGATCTTAATGTATTATTGTATGTATCGTATTTTATGCTTTGTTGATGTAGATGAAGTGTCGGGCTGGACCAAAATGTTCATATTATCGAAAGTTCGTTATATCGAGAGATCTCGTTATAACGAAGATCATATTTGAGTCACGTAAAACATCATTATATCAAGCGAAAATTTCTTTATTATATACAGTATGGCAATTGTTCAGATAACTATTCTATCTTAGAAAGAATCTAAGGTGTCGATATTTGCCAGAGTTGCAAAAGCTTTCGCTTTTTTTTTGCAAAATATGACCAGATATGACTTGGGGAACTTAATTTGCGTGTTCTAACCACGTACAAAGAGCTTCTTCAATTACGGTATATGCGGCAATTCGTTCGCGTTTCTTCGCTAAAGAAAAACTTTTGTCTAAAGTCAGCCAGTACGATGAATTTTTGAGAATGGTAGAGACCGTATTTTCTTTAATTCCATACAGTTTAGCAAGCGCCGCTTGAGTTGAGCTTTCTTTTTTAAACACAAATCTCTTTTTTGAACATCCGATAGAGAAACCCGCTTATTGCAGGTTTTTTACTAATCATACTTCTATTGTTCATATGTCTTTTAATTGTTGCGAGAACGAGTGAAACCTTAATATGATCTGCTCGATAAAATGGTTACCAATTATAGTGATGATTTACTGTACGTACGCACTTTATTATATCGAGATCGTTTTACTTATATAAATCGCACGACAACATTATAACGTTATCGTTATGTCGCGAGATTATAAGTAATCTTCATTATATCGAGCCCAATTTTATTATAACTGACATGTCCCGGAAAAAAATTCATATTAGCCAACTTCATATTATCGAGGGATCATTATATCGAGAGCCACTGTGTATGTATCATACTTATGTTTCGTAATTAATAAAATTTAAATTATATTTATTAATTGTAAGTTTGTGTAATTTTTGTACGATTTTTGTATAACTCTTCTACGATTTAAACAATACAACAAAAAACTTTTGAATTTTTTGATTTTGAGAAAACAAAATTTCTGACCCTAATTATTAAGATGGATTGTTCGAGACAATATTTATTAAAATATTTAATAGCATTTGAGTTTATGAAAAAAGAATTAAGCACTATCCATTTCCGTAGAAGGATTGTTGTTTCCAATTAATTTTACACTATTACTATGATCTTTCTTAATCATGTCCAAATCCGACATTTTCCTTTTGGTAGTTACACCAACAATCATTTCCTGATTTGATAGTCGTTCCTAAAATAAGAGTTCGTTAATATCTTTACAACCACGAATGTTATGCTCGTGAAATTTACACTGGTGGTAACCTTAACATTTGTCTACACGCTGTGAAAAATTGTATTTTGGTATTATGTATGAATCCTAATAAGCTCAAATTATATATTCTATTTACAAATCTTTAAACTGCTCAAAATAATTTTGTAGCGAAACACCTGCGGTGTAAATCACCGATCATTACCGTTACCGAACACGAGCATTTCAAGCTGCAATTGAATTTGGATAACGTAAGTATATGAGCGAGTAAATCAATCGAAAACGTATTTTTAGTAATCTCTACAATCACGAATGTTACGTTTGTACAGTTTATATATTTTATAACTATAACATTTGTCTATACTAATACGCTGTAAAAAAATTATTTTAAGTTGTTATATACGATTTTAAATAAATTCAAATTATAGTGTCATATGTGTAAAAAACAAATCTTTAAATTACTCAAGATCGGACTTTATGATTTGTATCTTTCTTGAGTTTCGTGATATTTGCGATTTTTCGAATTTTATTGATCTACCGCCAAATAAATATAATCGGATCTAGCCAATAGTATTTAGAATTTATGTGTCACGTGAAAAATTTAACTACAGGAGATCTGCTCCATGAAAACGCGACGAAATTTAAAACTGGCGTTTCCTGAGCCGTCTCTCTATTTTACCTCTCAACTTACTGTATGTAATATTAGGGAGCTGATGTTAAAACTAGCTGTAGCACGTATGTGTAGCTTGGAAATAAAGTCTCACACTATTGAGATCTTACAAGAGGAGCTAATAGACTGAGGTGAAATTTTCACTGAGTATTTGTTGATTGGTTATTGTATCTGAAGAGACGCTGCCACTAGGTGTAAATCGGAGAATTGAAAGCACTTCGTGGCCGCAACTTGAAAGCTATCTAGATAGTTGTGAACGTTCTTCTCCGTTACTGAAAGCCGTCTGAGATGGATATTACCTCGGGTGTGGTGAATAGGATACATTGATCATTTGAATTGAAAGTACATTGTGGCCACAGTTTGCGAAAGTCGCCAATCAGGTACCCATTCCTGGCGTATAGGTGGACGGCCTACTGTGAACGTTCTTCAATTGGTTCTTGACCATGATGATACAGTTACTCATTATCATATATTTATTTTTTATTAGCTCAGATCCGAGAGACGGTGGAGATGTCGGAGTAGATATAACCGTACTTTATGAAAGAGTCCAGTTTGTGATTCAATGTAAAAAACACAAACGGCCAATTGGTAATTATGAATCAACATCTGAGAATATATTAATATTAAAAGCTCGTATTTAAGTTTAACGTTTTCTTTTTAGAACCGAAAGCCATCCAACAACTACTGGGGGTACTTAAAGAATACCCATAGCCGCTGCTACAATTTTGGTGGCTAAACGGTTCTCTAAGGGAGCACATCGTCTGGCTTCAAGGTTCAAAGATAAATAATATTAGCGAATCCAGATGATGTTGTTCCAAAAATTATTGAATACGTTGGGAAGTGGCGACATATTCCACGCGGGCTCCGTGAAGCGACGGAAAATGCTTTTTTGCTGATTGCGACGGCCAGCATTTTTATACTTGAGATTTCCCAAAGTATTACTCCAAGACTAAAACACAAACGGCCAATTGGTAATTATGAATTAATCAACATCAGAGAATATATTAAAAGCTCGTATTTAAGTTTAACATTTCCTTTTTTAGAACCGAAAGTCGTCCAACAACTGCTGGGGTTACTTAAAGAATACCCATCAGGCACTGTTGCAATTTTGGTGGCTAAACGGTTCTCTAAGGGAGCACATCGTCTGGCTTCAAGGTTCAAAGATAAAACAATATTAGCAAATCCAGATGATGTTGTTCCAGAAATTATTGAATACATTGGGAGATGGCGATGTATTCCAATGAAAAAAATAATGTATTTTCTTTTGATTTTACTTTGTTTTTTTGTTTTTGTTGTTTTATACATTATTTTTTTATTGAAATATGATGAAGTTGATGTATCTATTTACATCCATTAATTTTTCAGTTTTTTTTATAATGCAATACTTATACTATTGATAGAGATATCATCGTTATGGGGTGCTCTCCCCTATCAGATTTGGCAATCGAAGTTACTAAAATTAGCAATCACTGTAGGAGGTAGAGGGTACCATAAATAGTAATTGACAGTAATCGTACTATTGTCTCTCCTACAATCTTATTCTATGTATGTATAACTTATCAAACAATCCACTTTATTTGGCAAGAGCCTTACCTACCTGAGAGATTAGAATTTTAAATAATTACGTCATAAGTAATGGTTGGCTAAATGATCCTTTTTGCGAAGATTGCTATTACTATTACTATTGCTTTTAAACTTTACTCGTAATAAAAATTTCTGCTTATTTTTTTCTGTATAACAAGGAGTCTTCCCTGTCGTCTCGTCTCGTATACATCCAATTAAACGCGTTGTAATAGACTTTGCAATCTTAGCAAGCCCTACTCTTCCACGAACTTCTTTAGGTTATATACTGCAAAAGTAACTTTCACTGTATAGAATGAGTAATTTTCTCGATTTCAATGTCATCACTATTATAACCGATGGTTAGGTGGCGTTACACTTATCACATGACATTTCGTGGAATAACTGACGAACCACGCATAGAATTTTTCCATGGAAGTTTTCGATCAGCAAAAAGAATCGGACTGCGTCTATTACTGCATATATTTCCCAGTACCGGATGTTGTCGATAAACAAGTTGAATCTCTTCAAGAAAAACTGACCTTGATCTTGGGCGAAATACAACAATTTGTGGATGATTATATATGGCAGAAAGATCCATTTAGGCTGAAAGTAGTAAAAGATGAAAAGGGTTCGTGCTGGACAAACAAAACAATTGAGTGATATATCATTCGGGACGATCATTAAAAAAACGCTTACCACTTTGCAGGGCTTTCGTATCCCTATTTGCATGGCACGGCTCGCTTCGGAGACTGCATTTATGATGAGTGGTTTATCGTATTTCTCTTGATCCAAATATCAAAAAAATATGCAGATGCCGTAACAAGGTAATAATAATATATTCGTTAGTGTCATATATCAATGACTATGCTCACCCGAGTATCTCGTGCCTTAAAGCGTATCCGACAATGATGGCGAGTTCTTATTGATTGAATCTGCAATGTACCTTCCAAATTGGCTGGATTCTTCGACGAGCCAAAATAGAGTACGTAAAAAAAAAACTTATCTATTATAATTACTAGTCGCGCTTGAATTTTGGATTTACTTTAAAGTATTTTTTAGATTTTTATCTATCAAGGCAATTTACATCTGATTCCTCTACCAAGGACGCCCGAAGAGAATGAATTACTGCCTAAAGATATCACATTAGAAATGGCCATTTCTCGAATACGGGATGATCGAATAAATACAAGAGCAGATAGCTCAATACAAGATGCAGCTTTTGCAAGAGCCTTAGAGTATGTCCAATCGAACAAATATTATAATAGTTTGCTATTCGAATCATAGCTTACCTGCATTCAGCGCAATTTCAGGTTTCCGAATATGAAATTCAGCAATATGCATTATGCTCGATGTCACATACCACAATCCATCGCACAAGTTCTTTACAAAAAACCTCAACTTATCGCATTGGCAGTCGAGGCGTTTTACACCCGTGATCCCATTGCTTTGAGGGTATTTTGAGCCTGTGATTGCCAGATATAGAGAAACGTCCGTGAATAACCCATATTCAATTTACTTACCAAGGCTTGCTCCAGAATGGATAAATTTCCACCATCAACTTCAATCACAGTAACAGTCAAAATGACACGCACTTTATATGCTCAGCTTTCAAGTCAAAAATTTCATCCACCAAAGCCATTTAAATTGCCGCCTCCTTCATCGTCGAATTTTAAATCAGCTGACCTCGGAATGAAAGTGGTAAGTAAAAGTTGGCTATGGCGTTTTGTCATTGTAGGTGACTTGAAATTGATTTTGTTTTGTAGGCATGTGGGTTCGAGATCTTGTGCACTGATAAATACTATACAAAAGCCAATTCAGTGGCACGTACTACTGCGACCGTTGAGGTAATATTGATTCAAACCAACTAATGAGAAGACCATTTAATAGCGAAAACTAATGCATTCAATTCTCAGACTTATCCGTTTGAAAGTGATCCCTCATGGCAGAAATTCCACGCCCGATTGGTTGATCTCGGCTACTATCGCGACGAGATTCAAGGGTCCAGGCTGTACAAAGAACTCGAGGCGACTGCAAAAGAGCAATTTTTAAAGAATAAAACTGAATCAACCTCAAGGTTCATATTTACTTGTGTTTAACTGATTCCACCGATCAGACCTCCAAATCATTGAAATTGTTTAATTTCTACTAGCAAAGATGATTTTGAAGAAGAGTCACCACTAGAACAAATTGAACAAATATTGAAGGAACCAGCGATTCCCGACAGTGTTCTGACTGCTAATGTGCACGAAGATGATGATTCTTGGTTGTATATTAATCCAAATCAACTGGATAGCATGCTAGATGACAAGTTCAATAATGCGCAAGTAAGACATGCAGTTGTCTATAAGAATATTGCCCAATGTATTCATAACCATGATAATAATTTAAATAGGCCACAGCTGACAAGGATGAAGATAATGATGCCATGAATTTGGCAAGGATGGCTAAAGAATTTAAGAGATTTGTTCAATTTGAAGAAGCTGGTATTGAAGGTGCCGAATTTATTGAGTAAGTTTGCCGAGAGGGAATAAATGAGAAACTATACGCAACGGACTAACACTAACTATGGTTGACTAGCGAGCATACGTCCGAAGCATCTGATGAAGATGAAGAGGATGAAGATGAAGAGGATGAAGATGGGGAGGATGAAGATGGGGAGAGTGAGGACGAGACAGATAACGTTGAACCGGGAGACGGCAATGTCAATTTAAACCCTGCAGAATTCTTTAATATAATGTGCCAAACACTGGGTATATAATGTATTTACTTACTCGCTTTGCGCCTTTGTACAACCAATTACTTATAGATAACATTAATAGGAATTTCGGCGGAAGAATACGAATCATATAGGAAACCAAAAGCCGAATCCCAGCCATTTCCCAGAACAGATCTCGAAACAGAATCTCTCCCTACTTCATTGGCACAGCCGCCCGAACCGACTTTGCTACCACAATCTACTCCGCCACCCGAGACCAATTTACAAGAGTATATGGAAGCGATGGATCGCGAGTTGTACTCGACAAATGTCGCCGGGTCATTTGTGCGTGGCGCTGATGACGTGTTACATAATGAAGCAGGGAGCGTGTTGGTTGAGGATGAGAACGAGTATAGACCAGTGGATATAGATCTAAACGTAGTGACGAATTTACTTCAGAGTTTTAGGAGCCAAGAAGGGTTACCAGGTCCAGCGAGCACTATTATGGGTAGACTGGGGATCAACATTGTACCAAATGATAGCGACGACGATGAAGATTTTGTCGAAATGGAGACATGACAAAGAACATACGATACAGTTTACTTCCTTAATGCAACCGCCTTGAGACTAAGAATGTGATTCGGAGAAATAATTCATATGATATTGTTAATAGTGATGTGACACAAGTACATATTAAACAAAGTGTCTCGTTTCGCCGACTTGAGCGAATGTCCATCTTTTATATCTGAACGGAAAAGAAAAAGATTATAGTGGTAGTTAAACCTACCCTGAGAAATAATTCTATTTTGTAAATAAAAATCGAAGCGAGTTAACGTGTCACAACGCAGATATCTAGACTAATGTGAAACCAAACCGTGTCGTGTAAGAAAGCAACGTAAGTATTGATAGATGGGAAGTGTTGAACCTTTCAACTTAAGAGTCGATGAGTAGTAGAACATGATTACCTCCAGCTTCTTGCGCTTGTCTATCAAGATGTTAGATTTTTAGTCCCAATAAAGTAATCATCCGCAGTGAAGTTTTGGTATTGTTAAACATCGAGGTGTCGCGTATTTGCTAATAAGGAATTTTCACTTATACGGTCCAACGGCTCGCGCGAAGGCCTTTTTTTTTTTTTCCCTTTGACCAAAAAGTTGCGGCTAGAGTTTGATCTGGCTATTTTATTGAACCGATGGAAACTCGTTTATAAGTTCGTTTAGGAAATAACTCGTATATTATATGCAATTGTATTCCCAATATTGGTTGGATATTTATTATTTCACAAATTTAGCTTGCCGCCTTTTCAATTAAATAATATCATTTGGGTTACTTGACTATGACGCTTTCTCTAAAGATGGCACAAGTTCAAACGTGTATTTAATTTGTATTTGCTGTTATAACTACCCATTTGGGGGCTCGAATAATTCATGCTACTCCCATTTGTCTTTGGCAGACGCTGTTCGTGATAGCCTGTTCCACAATGAGCATTGAACCAATATTATTCATACAGTATTACCTCATTTTGGATCGATATTATTTCAAGGTATGATCATCAAACCGTAATTCCTTTTATGTATAATAATAATAGATCCAGTGATGACTATATGACTCGTGATACAGAATGTGATCTTGCTTGTGACTGCTGATGAGCGCGGTCTAGCCAACGATAAACTGATTTGAAAGCAAATTGGCTCAATAAGCACGTCACATTATTCATATATTTATTAATCGAGTTGTTGCACAACTTATTCGATTTTGTGTGTTAACAGTCCAAGCAATAGAAAATTAGGCGATTGGTTCATTTCGCCAACAAAGTCCTTATTTCCTCACCGGGACATTTAAATTAACCACATTTGGAACGTCCGTAAGATCAGCATGGATCACACCTACCCTCATTGTTACGTGTTGGCGTATATATTTAAGACTTTTGCGGGCCAGCTTGTTTAAACCAAATTCCCTCTTACAATATGAAGACTGTTAGAATCGACCCACTTTCCAACGGTATGTACGTAATCGAATATCCACCACAGCTTAAAGGATATGTAAGTTGTCCAAGAGAACAAGATGTATTTAACGCTATACGACATTGTGCTAACCCGTTATCATGACTAACTTTTTTATTTATACGCTTTATTCGCATGCCAGGTTACCCAATCCGACTACCACGCTTTTATTGAAAAAATAAACGAGCCATATAAAGTGTACCGGAAAAAAGCCAATATAGTATCTTGCACTTACTCTTTGTTTGTTGTATCTGGAATATTGGGGATGTGTTTTGTGAGCAGTTCTGCTGTAGACCAAAAGTTGTTAATTGCTATAATGGTGGCAATTCCGGTAATAATTCTGACTATTTTGGTATATGGGGCTTATTTTCTCAGGACGTTGCATGAGACGGTGAGTTTTGGTTCAAATATCGAGTCTGATGCATTGTAAAGAACACTTGTTTTATTGTCCATTTATTATGATCCAGATGGAACGGGAGAGATCACGTATCAGTAGCGATTTTGGATCTACTGAGAAATCAACCGAGTTTATTTGGAACTATACTCAAGGAATTGTTTCTTTCTCCGGTTATAGACAGGTATGATCAAACTGTTGGTTTCGTATTTGTCAATAATATTCATATTAACCTATCTTGTACGCATATATTAGTCTAACATTGTAATTGAACTACCTGATAAACACGAACCACTCGACGTTGTATAAGCTAATGCATGGATGTGAGCAGCATAAATGAGACCACTGTGTTTACGCGCGACGCACAAATAAATTACACAGAGCTCAACTTTTAAAGTGAATTATTTTCCATTTTATAAAGTTATTATTATTCCTCCCCAAAAAACCTTTAATATTCGTGGGATGATACAACAGGAGATACTGTATATGCCATTTCTATAATTCACCACCCAAATTCAACTATGGTACACGTTCTGACCCAAACCGGAATTGAAATACAATCAGGAATTAATCCGACACGTTCCATAATATTCACTTAAGTAAATCCCCCCATAATATTTGAGCTTGTACGAAGCACATTCCATTTCACATATTGGTTTGATGTCGCTTATTCTTGTAAATCAAATACAATGTCGTTCTTCCTTTTCTTATAATTGCAAGGAAAAATTATAATTAAATTTTCCTAACTCTTGTCTATTATAATGAGTGATAATAAAATACCGTTCTAAATATACATGAAGTCAAACCAGTCTCTTTCAAATGTTATTGAGCAGCATCACTCATGATCTTCTTATTTAGCAGTTGGAATAGTTCATTATGATTGTACTACTTGTGGCGTTATAATTGACATGTCCCCATTTAAATAAATAATACATTGAACTATTCTTTCCTGATTAAGCAGTGTTCGCGATAGTTATTAATCGAACTTCCGTAACCTGGTTTTCGTAAGCAATACACAACGACAGAATTAGTATTAGAGCATCTATTATTGAATAGCTTGATTATTATCATTAAATCAAGCTTTATAACCGCTGAAAAGATCAATGCTTTTATTACATCCATATGTTCTTCCGCACCAACAATGAATCTTCACCGCTATAAAGAAAATATTCATATATCGTGGTTAGTGAGAATAAAATGTTTAAAAGACTACTTTGAAAGCGTCACTTTACAGTATGTCTTAAAAGTTTCAAACGCGTGTCTTGCATTTGGTATACAATTAATAGTTTATTAATCGGCAGATAATTAACAGTGACAAGCCGTAATTATAATATCAGTTAACAAGTTATTCAATATATAATATCTATTAAGAATAACAAGAAATTCTAACTCCGCCAAATCAGCCAGACAATGCCAGGTTACACGTGTTCAAGTTGGGTGCCATATTTTCCCTCATTCACACCCACCTAACATTATTGACAATAGTATTCACATTAGCATTAAACCACTCCCTGGGCGTAATTTTCATTACAAACATACTCTCTAGCTGCCTATTGAAACTTTTTCTATACATCCAAGTTAGCGGCAAGAATATGATCCAGAGACAAGAGATGAAACAAAAGATATGTGTCCATTTTGAGTGAGCGAAGCGGGATAATTTGTTGTTATCGTAGACTTCGACCATATAATTACGCATTGGGAATGTTACTCGGACTTGATTATGGTAACCTTGTTGACGAATTGCGTAAGTTACTGCACGGGTTAGGGACGTGTAATCCCAGACTACGACCTGATCATTGGGAAATGGATCGGAGGAGAAGGCGAGACGAGATAGTAAATCGGGTGATTTTTTAATGAGACGAAGGCAAAACAAATATGCCGATACTTGACTCGCACCTTTTTCATTTTAATCTCTTTCAATTTATTCTTGTTTTCTACATATTCCTGCAGTAATTCCCTAAGATCTTTCGCTGGTTGACCTTTCTGCCCATTGACAGTTATTATTCCACGCGGTATTATATATTCCGTGAGGTCTAATGTAAAGTGAAAGTCTGTGACTTCTTCACTGTGATGTGTTGTGTCCGTTCGTGTATGGCCATTGTCGTCTGTGTGTGTGTGATAATGGACAGTCGTCTCTTCATGACAACCTTAATTCAAGTGAAGCAACGGTGGAGAGGGGGGATTTTTATAAAACGGATCAGTCAGTTAATACTAGGTCAATCAATTATTCACATTATCTCGTTTACAAACTTGCGCGTACCATGAACCGTAATAGCCATTTCAGGCATATCATTGTGCGCTAGAAAGAACCTATGCAAGCTCTCGACCTCCTGATTAATCTTCGGATCGTAACTCACAACCCCCTTAGTAGATCTTTCGTAACTCGCATCCGACAGACTATATGCTGGTGGTGCCGATAACTCGTCAGCCACTGCGCTTTCTTGCCCATATATATCTACAACTACGTTCGTATCTGTATGACTTGTTTTCGAATAATCTGCTTGTAGTAATGATTGATTTTCATCGTTAGAATTATAGGGTGACGGTGTATCCTCTGATGCAAGTGCTTCGTCATAGGATGGTAGCAATGGGCGGGTGGACGAAGAGGACGCAAGGGTCGTCGTTTGGTCGTAAGACATTCTAGGAATAAGGAGAATTGGAACTAAATATTTGTGTTTTCGAGGTCAGAATGACAGAATGGGAAACGGATGCATATAAGGAAAGCAAATAATAAAAAGAAAATCTACATTGTCAAAATGTATAATAAGTGAGGATGTTTTCGTGTGGTCGTCTGTGATGATTGATGAAAGATTTAAATGCGATGTTTATCATTGTGAATAAAGCATGACACGTGACCAGTTTTGCGACGCCCTGTTCCACAATTTCTATTTAGAAGTTTCCAAGAACAATCAATATTATCACCGAGAAGTCTAATGCATCAGAAGAATAATTCAGCCGTATGATGCAACTATAAGTCATTCATATCAATATTAGTATTAGGTAAATTTATTTAAATAGATTGAAGTCTAACCAACCGCAACAATAATCGATTCCTACTTTTCAGATTTACTAATTCTATTCCCTGATTTATGTGGCCTGATTTGTGCTTGATTTGTGGCCTGGATTTAAATAGAAATGGCATGATTTTTGTGTAACACAAGTGGTAAATCGAGACCATAGGGATATATCTGAGTAGGATACAAATGAGACACTGATATACAATAAGGGAAATCCGTCCAGCTGAAAGCTCGAGGTTGGGATACAACAAGGGGAGATACAAATAAGGTAGGACTGTATCTTCTCGTTCACCTGAATAATTCTTTGTCATACGATAATTTTTTTCCGTTGGATCTGATTTGGGCTTGTATTAATATTATACTTAGAACAACGAGTTCACATAGACAGATTTATAACAAAGTTCACCACAAGCCGATTTATTATTTATAGAAATTTCTGTCCTTGATGATTGGTTCGCTACAGCCAGTATTAGGTTCACTATAGTGATAGACAGCATCAACTGTACTTTTTTCCCAAAGTGTCTAGAGTTGATACGATTCGGACCATCGAACCGTTCGAAAGTACACAAATGTGGTGAAAGGACAGAAAGTGCCAACTAATCGACAACCTAGACTCACCCTTCTTATCGAAACAAATAGTTGCGAGCGACACGTATTGATTAGTCAAAACACCAAATCGGCACGGGCAGAGAATTACTTCGCATAGAAGAGTTGATAATTAATTATATATTTAGTTGTTCAACTCCCGGAAGTAAGGGCGTGTAATACAGGCTAAGCTTGGTAACATTCTACCAACTACGCGAAAGATAATACCGGTTTCCATACGAAATTATACCAACTGCAACACTACCGATTCATATAAGCCCGGAATTACAGCCAAGCGCTTGTCTTGTCATTTTTACAGAAACGTATGTTTAGTCTGAACAAATTCTTCTATCTATAGTCAAAATATTGAGATTTCAGTGATACGGTCTAATTATAGTCAGTAGTACAGCATATTTGCATACTAATACGGAGTGGTTAAATACTAATTTGGAAATTATTGACTAAAACAAACATCTATACGTAATAACGATGAGAAGTGCTCGCGTCGCTTAAGGCTGAACTAGTTTCATGGAACGTATGTGTATGTCTTTGCGACTTCTGACAGAACGTAAGATACTTTGAGGAATTCTTTAATGAAATACATTATAACTCGACTTTGTCGATATTTAATGTTAGCAATTCTGTAGTAGAAAATCATGCGACAAAGCTAAACGCATGGGCATGCTGTGGATTTAGGTCAGTCACCCCTGCTTGGGAAAGTTCTGCGCAGTGAGATCAACACACTATTATACATACATGGTTAGTCTGGCGGGAAGATTTGTATATATTTAGAACTTTTACAGCCAACTTGAAATCTCCTTGTTTACCTCTTACGATTACCTCTTACGATATGAGAACTGTACGAGTTGACCCACTTTCCAACTGTATGTACGTGACCGAATATCCACCACAACTTAAAGGATATGTAAGTTATCCAATAGAACAAGGACTATTAACTCTGCACGATATTGTACTAACTCGTCATCGTTGCTCTATTCACACGCTAGATCACCCAATCCGATTATCACGCTTTTATTAGAAGAATAAATGAGCCATATAAAGTGTATCTGACAAAGGCTATTATAGTCACTTGCATTTTCTTTCTGTTTATTATATCCGAAATCTTGGGGATATGTCTTGTGATCAACTTTGTTGTAGACCAAAGGTTTTCAGTTGCTACATTCATCGCAGTTCTAGTCTTACTCCCGATTTCTTTTGCGTCTATGGGCTATGTTAATAAGACGTTACTTGAAACGGTGAGTTCAAATATCGAGTTTGATGCATGGTAAAGAACACTTGTTTTATTGTCCATTTATTATGATCCAGATGGAACGGGAGAGATCACGTATCAGTAGTGATTTTGGATCTACTGAGAAATCAAGCAAGTTTATTTGGAACTATACTCGAGGAATTTTTTCTTTCTGCGGCTATAGACAGGTATGATCAAACTGTTGGTTTCTAACTGTTGTCGATAATATTCATATTAACCTATCTTGTACGCATATGTTAGTCTAATATCGTAATTGAACTACCTGACAAACCCGAACCATTCGACGTTGTATAAGCTAATGACAGAAAATGCATGGATGCGAGCAGCGGAAATGAAACCATAGTGTTTATGCATCACACGCAATAAATTACTGATATACAAACTCAATTTTCGAGAGTGAATTATTCAACTAAATGTTAATATAAACCTGATAAGTGCGTTCTCATTAACCTACCATACCTGATGGATTTGGTAAGTGGGCAGTTGATGGGGAGGTAGTAGTAGCGCTCATTTGCTCTTGCCAAATAAAGTGGAAAGATTTCTTTATTGTACATGTAGTAGAAACAGTACTATACTATCACTGAAATGTCTACTAATCGCCAACAATTATACCTCAAGAGAGCTTTATTATCTTTATAACTATTCGTGGGATGATACATTATGACAACGGATATTTTTTTAGAACGTCTTTTGCATAGTAGTAATGTTGCGTCTTTCAGTTTCAGTCACTATTTAGATAACATTTGTTTTAATTGCTTCTTTGATAAAGTAATTCTCAGGCCTATTTCGATGATTTAGTCTGTAGCGTAGCCCCATCAATAATGACAGAAGATGTAGAGTCTGTTTTGTTATCGACTTGTAATGAGGAAAGCATCAAATGCAATAAAATTTACGTGAAATCCTGGATGTAGATGTAGTAAGAGTTCAGAGGATTCACCATATTCTTTATTAGCAACGTATTATTATCAACTCGCATTCTAATTATGAATTCTTTGATACGATCGGTCTAGACAGCGCTTTTCTATTCTTACAATTGGAAATGTCCGGAAAATGTTGACCCAAAAACGACTTGGTAATCAATGAGCAAAGGCTATTTCGCTTAATCATTGACCCTCATTATAATTATGAGAAATGTCATGGCAGCTAGTCCCATCAACGTAGAACTCGAGACTAATTAATAATCTAGGGACAACGTATTCAAGTATCGTGAATGTTTTGAAAACCAACGTTAAGGTCACTAATTGTCATAATAGATTTATCAGGAGTAGAGGTAGTTGTCGGATCGCCACACGTGGAGAGCGTTCGTGTAACGACCTTGGGATTTAGTCGTCTTCCGGCGGAACTCTTAGGCTCGTTCCTACTATCGCTAA